GCTTTGCCTGGGGCTGGGTCCCAGTGCAGATGGGGGCTGGGAGTTCTGCATTCTCTGGACATCGTCAGCATGCAGGCTGTGCATGAGAACCAGCTGGAGAAGGACAGATGCTACCCAGGCAGGCTGCTGGCGCCTCCATATTGTGGAGGCTGTGGGTAATGACCTAAGGAGCACGGCCCGGGTTTAAAAGCTGTGCAGATGCCTAGGGATGTAGGTGGGCACCTCGCGGGATTCTTATAGACCCTATGAAGTTGGGCACCTGTGACCGTGCGGGAGTTTTAAAAGCACCCACGTCCTGCGTCAGGCACCTAAATACCTTTACCTGTCTGGCCTAGAGGTGTGCGTAAAGATGTGGCCATTTAGTATCTGTAGCTCCAGCCACGCACAGGCCTGCTTGCTAGGGGCATTGTCCAGACACAGCCCAAAAGGGCAGCCTGGGTCCTACAGTCAACAGCGTGGAAAGCTTGTTCCCCCTTTGTCGTGTGTCTTTTCACCCCCGATCTCTCCCCTGGCTTCTCTTACCGCCTTGTCATTGGTTCCAGGCAGGGTCAGTGTGGAGCCTCGCTCGGCCCTGGAACAGGCCCAGGAACCCCTGGCTACTCCTTTGGCAGAACACAGGGCAGCCAGCCTGCTGTTTCCTTCAGCAAGCGAAGGGAAGGCCTGGCCTTCCACAGCTGCACCGTGCTGTGGGCTGGTTCAGCTCCTCTTGAGCAGAGGGGCACAGTGCACAGATGTCCCTCTTCCGTGGGTGGGGCTGTTTGAAGTCTGTTTTAGGAGCAGCATTTATAAAGCCGGGCTCTGAACCACCCATCCGCTCACTCCCGCTTTGCCGCATCACCACTGCTGTTCGGTACAGTCGGTTTATGTTGCATTTTCGATGGGCAAACATATTATTGTCAGAAATCAGAGCAACTGCTGGGACATGAGACCAGCTGGAGAACACACATTCTGTACGAGCACAAGAGAAACTCACAGCCGCTAGGGGCTCAGGCACGGCCATGCTTCTCAGGCATAGTACCTAGAGCATGCAGCCACACTGAAATCAATGGGACTATGTATGTTAGTAAGCAGCCTGCAGGGAATTAACTGTGTGCAGCAGTGACCCCAAGAGAGAGAGGAGAGTTTTTATTTAATTTGGCCGTGTTGACATCACTATACAGCCAAACTCTGGTTGAAGACGCTGCTAGGAATATGTCATCTGATTCAAAATCTTACAGCAAAATCTCTGGATTCTGCAGAGCTCTGGTGCAGCAGAGTAGGAATTTGGTGGCAGGTTCATTTCAATTAAGACTTTAAAAAAAATAATTTTGGCATGAAAATGAACATCAGTAGCAGTAGCTGCCCTGTTGTTTGTTTTGACTCTGTTTGGCAAAACCAGTTTGTTGTTTTGCAACCAACTCTGCTGTTTACACCAGCTATTTAAATGACCCAGGTGCACAGGCATGTCACCTCTGATGTGCTTACTTGTCCCAAGAAAGACCTCCTTTTAACACTCATTCCTTAATTGGTGGGCATCTCCAAACGCCCTCCTTTCGCCATCTCGTTCCCTGCCCCAGGCCCAGACGCACGCGGATTCCCCAGGCAACCCAAACAAAAGCAAACGTTTGCTACTTATAGAAAAGAGAAAGCGAGCGCGAGCATGTGAACTCACGGAGACTCAAACAGGCCCAGAGTTACTAGGGACCCTGCTCTGTTCTGCTTCTCTCATCCAACTCTAGCTACTCACAACTCTGACACCCACCCCTGCCTCCTTTCACTTGGCACCCAAAAGATCCCTTCCCATGCCTGAGCCTCACCCTGCCTCATCCCAAGAACAGCACACAAGTGGGGAAGAACTCCACGTGCCCAAGAGGGAGGATCTGGCTTCTGCGCCACGATAGCTCTTGGCCCATGGTTTTCCCATTTGCGGGGCACCTAGCCTGTGTGGATCCTCTGGTGTGTAATAAGGTTTGAGCTCCGACTGAAGCTCCGCCCACAGTGGGCACAGGTGTAGGGCCTCTCGCCCGCGTGGGTCCGCTGATGCTGGAGGAGATTGGACCGTACGCCGAAGCTCCGCCCACACTGGGCGCACTCGTGCTGCCGCTCCCCCGTGTGGATCTTCTGGTGCTCACTCAGCTCTGAGCCACGGCCGAAGCTTTTTCCACACGGGGTGCACTGGCAGGGCGTGCCCGCCTCGTGGAGCCTCTGGTGCCGGATGAGGGCAGAGCTCATGGAGAAGCTGCGCCCACACTGGGCGCACTGGTAGGGCCGCTCGCCCGTGTGGATGGTCCAGTGCTGCACCAGGTGGGAGCTCAGGCTGAAACTCTTGCCGCAGGCGCAGTGGTAAGGCCGCTCCCCGGTGTGGGTCCGCTGGTGCTGTGCCAGGTGGGAACTCACGCTGAAGCTCCGCCCACATGCGGCACAGGAGTACGGCCGCTCCCCCGTGTGGATCCGCTGGTGCCGGGCCAGGTGGGAGCTCACCCGGAAGCTCTTCCCGCACTGGGCGCAGTCGTAGGGCCGCTCCCCCGAGTGCTTCCGCTGGTGCCGCAGGGAGGTGGAGCTCTGGGCGAAGCGTTTCCCGCACTCAGGGCAGGCGTAGGGCCGCTCCCCTGTGTGGGTTCTCTGGTGGATCGTCAGAGACGAGCTCTTGCTGAAGCTCTTCCCGCAGTCCCAGCATGTGTTTGGTCTCTCCTGGCGGGCAAGGCCATCGCCCACCGGAGCAGATTTACCCTGGCTCCGCGCCAGCGGGTTCCTCTGCCGAGTCTCGGGGCTCTGGGGCCCAGAGGGCAAAGTCACAGGAGGCTCTGCCACCTCAGCGGCTTCCTGCAGGGGCTTCTGCTCCTGGGGTTCTCTCGGCATCCCCTCGCCGGCTGGAACGAGAAAGGAGTGCCACCATGAGTGCTCCCTGCGCTGGGAGCCGCAGAGCGGGAAGGGCGGCGGGGCCCGTCAGGCACGTTGAAAGTCACCAGAACCGAACGGCCAGGGGATGGGGACTCGCGCTGCCTGCACGCACCACCTGAGCCAGAGGTGGGGGGCGGGGGAGGGGAAGGACCCTGTTCCACACGGTTTGCACGGACGGGGGCCCTGAATGGCGAGTGCACTAGGACACGAGCTCTGCTGGTTACTGTAGTGAAGGAAGCCCGGGCTCAGAATGGGGAGGTCTTGCCTCCGCTCTGCTGGAATTCCATCCACAGCTCTTCTCCGATCGCTGAGGTTTGGGATCAGTGCAAGCTTATTCCTCACCTGCATGTGCGCCGTTCACGAGCTTCTCATGGCCTTGCATCGCCGGCACCCACGGCTCCTCCCCTAGCGGCCTGGGACCGCTGCAGGTTTCGGAAGGGGCAGTCCTGCTCAGGGGAAAGGAAGTGGGTGAGATCAAGGTTTGTCACGTCTTTGCAGGGCATTTGTTACAAAAATGGCGCATGGTTTTTAACGGATCCCTTCCGACAGCGGGGAGATCTCGGCTCGACAGGAGGGAAGATGCTCTTGGAGGAGTGGAAATGTGGATGGGCCCCAACCTATGGTGGGCAGGCAATGACTGACATGGGCTAGTGCAGCTCATTGCATGGACAGTGCAGAGGGGACGTTGGGACGTCTCAGCCTGCCCGACCCTTGGGGGCTGAGTTAGCGAAGAAGGAAGAGAAACTAAGCTGGCTGAAGGAAGTGTCTGCCCCATAAACACACTGTGCCGGGGATGAAATGGGTCAGATGCAGCTTGGCTCTCTGGAAGCTGACGAGCAACGTTCCCTCTAATCTTTTCCATCGGTGCAGAATAAATTTTTAGGTGCACTGGGGAATGTGCGGATGTGCACCACCAGCAGAGCCAAAACACCTAGAAGTGGGCGCTCTGCTAATCAGCTGGGTGGCATCTGAACCTCTCCTAAGCAGCTGCACAAGCACCCACTCCTGGCAAGCTGCTCTGACCCTGCACAGGGAGCAGGAGCTCTGCTTCCGGGGGGGGCTCTCTGTCAGTGCAGGGGGAGTGCCCAGGCATGGGCAGAGCAAGTCCCAGGGCGTCAACAACCTCACGGGTCTCTGGGCAAAGTCTGTGGGGGGAGGGTCAGGAGTTTGGGAGAAAGGGGCGGGGCCAGGGACAACCAGCCCTCAGAGCAGTCTGGCAGAGATTTAAAGGGCCAGGGGCTCCGAGTGCTGCAGTAGCAGAGCCGGGAGCCCTAGGCCCTTTTGAATTGCTGGGCTCTGGGGCAGCTGCCCCCTTTGCCCTCCCGTCGGCAGGCCCAGCAAGCCCCCACCCCTGTGCTGTGATGGGAGGAGCCATTCCCAGGGGGGCGTCAGGCCGCATTCGTCTGTGCGTGTCACTGCCCGGTCTCTGCCCTGCCCCACTGTGGAGGGGAGACCTCAAGGGAGGGGGCTGGAGAGCGAGCCTGCCCAGCACTCCCCCGGCAGAGGCAGCTGCTGTCCCATGGGCCTGGGCTTGGCACTTGCTGCTTGCAGATGGAGCAGCCAGCCGCAGTGTCACATGGTCCGCATGCAGGTGGGGCCTCCCTGCTCCCTGGCCCTGCCAAGCTGGGTCTCTCAGAGCTGCTGGAGGGTACTGGGGTGCTGGTGTGATGCTCAGATTTGGGTAGGGAGGGGGGGCGCTATGGGGAGCGCCACAGACTGTACCAGGGCAGAGCTGAGAGCCAGCCATGTGCAAGGTGCAGCCCCTTTCGGGAGAGGCTGCTGGAGGGGGTCAGGGCGTGGGGGGGCTGAGGATTCACACGCAGCCCCTCCAAGGGAT